TGACATCAACTAGGCGAAACAAACAGTAGCTGCTCTACTGGAGAAACACGCAGCTTCCGACACAAGTAGTAAAATAGACGCCAGACAAATGATGAAGTTGTAGGGATTTTGACTATTAACACATTTCATTTTCAACGGCTAAATCTACCAGCAGATAAGAGGAACACCGATGGGATCGCCGATTTCTGGACTGGTAGCCGAAGCAGTGATGCAAGCACTAGAACGAATAGCGCTCCCAATTGCGACACATTCGTCATCCTCAAACGCTCTGAACTAGAAGAGACAATGTGCTCGACGGCGTCCAATTCAGGAGGGAAGAGGAGAATGATGAGCAGCTACCATTATTGGACGTTCTCATACTTAGGACTGGTTGTGGACCACTCAAAACGACAGTCTATCGAAAATCAGCACCTACGGACCCGATCCTCAACTACAACAACAACAATCATCCGGCAGTGCACAAGCGCAGCTGCCTGCTAACTTTTCAAACGAGCACGGACACGTTGTAGCACGCATTAGCTGAGGCAGGCGGTGCAAGACCATCTCTTCAGCCTGTTCAAACGGAATTCGTATCCGAAAGGCTTCATTCTGCGCTACTTGGCCCCACATAAAGCAACACAACACACCTCAACAAATGCAACGGCTGAAATCAAACCGTGTTACACATCAACGAATCTCGGAAATGGCAGCGCAACTTTTGTTGCCTTTGGGAGCCAAACTTGCCCACCAACCAACAGAAACGATACAAAATAAACTCTTCAAAGTGAAGGATAAACTTAGCAAATGGGAAACATGGTGTAATCTACAATATATGCTGCCGAGACTGTGACAAATACTACGTACGACAAACAGGAAGAAAGCTTGACACACGGCTACGTGAACATAACCTAACCATCCGCCGTCATGATAAGAACTCTTAGATGTCCGTGCATATGGATGTCGAAGACCACCAGTTCGACTTGGAACACGTCAAAATCCTCGGAAGAGCCACAAGCCGGCAAACACGTGAGTTTATTGAAGCCTGGTATTCAAAGCAGAACTCGATCAATAAGCACTTAGATCTCGAAGTCGCTTACGAGGCTCTGCGAAACAGGACCTTAAAGCCGCACTGATGTTGCTTAGTCTGACAGCGAAACGTCTGTAAAACAATCATTCAGCTCGGAGAGCAGTGCAAAACCCCCATCCACATCCCGAGCTACGGATATTCTCTACTATCTCAAGACACTTTGTACTTGTGAACTGGGAAGTGGTGCCGTTCGTGCCTGTCCATGAGCGCCTTGTCACCCATGCGATGATAGATTTCATGACGCGGATGCACGTAGTTACACCTGGGGTTGCTGGTTAGGTAGTTGGCAGAATGTATCACAGTAACCCCTTTAACAGGACCTGTCGGCGGAAAGAGCTGTTATTGGTTGGCATTCTATTGCTGCCGATAGTCAAGGTCCCTGCGCTGAAGTTACCAATCCCTTGTCAGTGATGTGGATACATTGAGTGCGCGGGCCAACATGCCTAAAATCGGGTGGCGCATCGACCTGACCCATGACAGTTGCCTATGATCAAAAGGCTAAATGGCATGTAAGCAAGTGACGTAGGCAGCTTCACTGATGCGATGATCGTAGCGCACCCTGAAAACCTCATATGCTTAATATTATGTCCGTCTTATTGCGTGCCACGATTACACTGGTTGCTTTCCAAGTTATAGGAACAACTACGGTCACTTATGTTGTATGCGGAGCGCAAGAGACGATTAACATTTTCGAGGGAAGGTTTTGCTACCTATCAGTAACAACAATGCCGGATTACGTAGCTCTCACTTAGAAGCTGCACACTAACCAAACCGAGGGCTGCGGTGTCGAGCGGAAGATATGTGGATAATTGCGGGTACGCGCTTTGGTGACGTTCTTAACCTCCTTAGATATGTATGCCTGCACACGAGATGGATATTTTCACATGGCTCGAATTGGTCTTTCCATCAATATACCTAGCACAGGGACCACAGGTGTCGGTCAGTGAGTGGGACTACTTTGTTAGCCTGAAACCCTTCCAACTTGGTCATGTGCTGCCCTCACACCACTGACTTCTGTCTGAATAAAATAAGGTGGCAAATGCTAACCTATCCAGCGGTTTAGTCACCTAGTTGCCTGAAATCAAACGTGATCCGGGGGCACCTTGCTTTTAATCCGTCATCATTTACACATGTCAGTAGTGAAAACAGCCTGGGGGAACCAAAAGCAATACCTGTGTAACTCGAAATGCCTTAAGAAACATAGGCTGTGCATAACTGTGCACTTCACTGTCACCACCTCTATCTATCAAGCAATCCAGCACCCTAGCAGTAATTGATCTCAGATAGCTTGTGACCAGGGTGATGTACGTTGCATTAACTGCTGTGTGCAGCTGTGTTTCAGAACCCAAGTACAAGGGCAGTACGGCGAAAAAAGAATGGTCACGAGTGGGATTCAGCTTGCTACGCAGTATGAAATTCCGTTACAACTGCCACGTTGAGCAATAACTCCCTTCCCTCCCGTGTTCCGTGCATCACGGTCTACGCAGGCTTTTGAGTAACGCTATTGTTCACTTGTATCAGTGGGCATCCGACCGTAAACGCGTTGATCTCAGAAAATCATCACACGCGGTGCCGGTGGCCGAGTGATCTGCACGCCCGGCTTGCAATCATAAGATCACCGGTTCGAATCCGCGTAGGGGCGGGTATCCTTGCGAAATACTCAGTCCACGCGCGACTGGTGTTGGTCGCGCGGCAGCGAAGCGCCGTCACGTCATACAGGCTGGCCAGCCGGACAACCAGCTGGGTGCATTGAGTTAATTCTGTTCCAGCGGCGGCAATGTTTCAGGGTGTAATGGATTTTCGCCCGGCAAGCGTTCTTCCTATAAGGAACCATAAATGTCTGCTTAACAACATTGCGACATGGCGGGTGTGACTCGCCAATAAATAAAGTCACTGCCATACACACCACGGACGGCAGTCATGCAGTACAAAATTTCACAACTACGGCGTTACGTTTACAAATTCAAGCAACACAGCTGCAAACATGCATACCCAAGCGCACACAAATACACACCACGGATGCCACATTATTGTCCCTTTGCGGAGCATTCGTGTTGGTATTGTCATGATCATGCCTATTCAGGGTTGTTTCGCTATTTCGAGAATATATTATTTATTTGTTTATAATGAACGCTCAACGGTGGATAGCAGATGTGCCTGATAGATGAGAGACGGCAATCACCAAAGCATGAACTTACAAACTGCGCGCTTCTTCATGGAGGGATACTTGATGCCGGGCCGGAAGCAGATTTAGTGCATTTATGAATTCCATTCTCATACTACGTAGTTACCACGTCGACCAGTAGAGTTCCGAGGTCACGATGATAGACGTGAACTCTAGCGATTACATTACCTGCACCATTTGCTTGGACCCCACTTCCCAGACACGTATTGCAGCAATACTTCTCTCTCATAGTACATCAACGGATCACCGTTGCATTAGTGCACTAGTAGGTATGGTTCACTCCCAGACTTGCTAAGCTCTCTCTTTATGGCCGTGCTATTGCATTATTCACCCTCTAACTTGAAAAACAGCCAGTTCACTCGTAGCACATGTATTAAGACTGGCTTATTATTAACCATACCATACCTGCACACTGAAGTGTGCAGTTTCACAGGTAGGCGATCACAATCTCATTAAGTCAGAAAAGTTATTGTTCTACCGTCATCGCATCGATGACGCTGCCTACGTACACTTGCTTACATGCCATTTAGCCTTTTGACCATAGGCAACTGTCATGTATCAGCTCGATGTGCCACTCGTTTTTGGGCATTTTGTCCCGCGCACTCATTGTGTCCACAGGACGCATTACATTGAACGGACAAGGGATTGGTAACTTCAGCGCAGGGACATGGACTATCGGTAGCGAGAAGATGCGAACCAATAGTAGATCTTTCCGCCGACAGGCTCTTTTGAAGGAGTGAAGCTAGAACATGCTCAGACATGTGCACTATTGTGCCAACTTCATTCTATGCGGTAACCTTAGGTGTAACCAAGCACATCCGCGTCATGGAATGCGTTATCGCATGGGGGACGAGGCGCTCGCGGACAGTCCCGGCCGGCACCTGTACCCCGTTCACAAGTGCACAAGTATCTCTGTACTAACACCCGACATCCTATTGGTCGACGTTGACTGACTAACGAGGCATCAACGCCACGGTGCGCGGGTGAACCATTGTCAACGTATGGAGTGAACCAGCTTGAAAATGGTAACGGCGTAATTTGAAATCTTTACGGCTTAGATTGATGCTGCCATGGCGTAACATGACTGGTAGGTGGTATAGGTAACATCTGGGTATGGTTTTGGACTTTTTCTCTGACATGTTATGTCGCGTCCAACCGGTTCAACCCCACCCGGTAATGAGAACGCCAATATTAGTCGGACCAAGAATTGTTTTGCATGAGAGCATAGCGGAATAAATAGGTTGAAGGCAGCTACTAAACACAACAACATCGGAGATGCTAATTAATGTCAATTAACACAACTCAAAACGGTTCAACTTCCGGGTTTGACTTGCTGCTGACCCCACATCGAATTGCATTTGACCTCTGCATGAGTTCAATCTCCAAACGTAGCTAGATCCGATCTTGCGGCACGGCTCTCGGCTTGAACCCTGGTTGTAAGCTGGCTCCCCGTAATACATGTGCGATGCGATGTCTCGGCAATGGGTTAGGCAAGTTACAATGTCCGAAATGTCGTTAAACGTGTGGGCATGACTTTCTAGCTTGCGTTACACCTGCTTAGTTACTACGACATGTTGGCTCAGTATTTCGTTTACTTTTCATCGGTTGTAATTGATCTCGGATCCTCATTGCTACCTGAGGATATTTTTTCGCTGTCATAATCAAGCTGTTACCTCAGTATGTGACAGCAGGATTTTTGTTCATATCGTTTCTTTTTCTGTTTACTATACCGAATTTTCTGCTGTGAGTCCCCACTGATTCACTTGTCACTATTCGCTTACACTCACTAAACCAACTTCTTTTCTCCTCCACTTTTATCTTAGGTCTGTTACCAAAATCTGATAAATCTCTTGAACATTTGAAACGATTCTTCAATCAAGCCCACTTAGACAAGTCGCTATTGGCACAATTGACGAGATTGACAAAACCAAATTGCGGTTGTGCTCAAGCCACAAGCTGTATGGTATGTTTACCACTCCCCTTTGCTAACTTATTCTGGTATCATGTTGCTACTAGTCGAATGAACCGCTCTATCCAACTAGCAATTTTCACGATCTACTTGATGTTTTCTTTCCTTTAACCTCAGTTTAGGTCATTCAGATTTCTTAACCACTCAGTCATGTTTGCATCTTTAACGCCAGTCATTTGTTGCACTTCACTGGACCATCCTTTGCTCGGTCATCCTTCACAATCACCGTTCTTAGCCGCGACACCTTATTTTCTGTAAATCTGCTTGGTGGTTGTACCGTGTGTTCTTGGTCAAATAGTGTTCCCAAATTGTCGAAATACTTCCTGTTGGAGTGAAGAGTTTCGGTGTTGCTCTCTCTTCCAACACTTCACTCCATGACCGATCGGTTTCGTCCTGATTTGGACGAATCAAGACGAGACCGGTCGTTCGTGAAGTGCACTATTGGGAGAGAGCAGCTCCGAAACTCTCCACTTTGGATGCAGTCTCTGTGAGCGAAATGACATATCTTTGCTTCAAAGCAAACTATAGCGTGTCGCAATCCAGACGCACGGCGGGTACTCCAAGACCTAACAGTGCACATCCTGTTAGGCTTAAAAGCTACCGGTTTTTGACTCCGTTCTTTTTCATGCAACGTTTTTTCATTTGTTCCCTTTTCCTGGGGTTTCACTCCATTCTGCTTACATGTCCTCGAGACTGAATACCACACCTATTCTTTCGGTTTTTTTACTTCTCAGCGTCCTATCCCGATATATTGTGGAAGTGCTTCGACCGGTAGTATTTCAAGCCCTTAAGAAAACAAATTAGGTTGTATTTACATAATCACCTCTTTCCACCGTGACATTTCTATCTTTGTCGTTTTGTTTGTGACTTGTAGCGTGAAATTCTTAAACGCGTTGACAGAAGTTCTTCCGGCAAGGCACCTACTGCAGACGCTCAATTAAATTATGTGCGGAGCATCAAGGTGCTTTTGGAACGGTCCGCTCCTGTTCTATTTGATAGAGAATTCGGTCAGGAGCTTGTCACGCAAATGGTTGTCGTCCGAGAGACTGAGTCTACCTCCGGATTGACCCATCCGTTCGATCTCACACGTTCTCTCCGGTTACTTTACTCATTGACAGTGTATTTCAAAGTGAGTTCAGTTTGTTGCTTCGTATCTATCTAAAGTGTCATCAGTTGTCTTTTGTAAAAGTAGTAGCTATAATCATGTTTCTACTATCTATTCTGGCATGAGAATGTACACTGTATCACGTCTTGACGGATCCACACACAGTGATTCCTGTTGGTTGCTGTTCATCTCCTTGCTAGACTCGCACTCTTCTCTCATTGTTAGCAAATTGATGTGGTTTGATATCTCTCTCTCCACTGATAGCTCACTGGGCCCAAATGTACCCTCCTTTCAGGTTGACCTTTTGCTTTCTATGATCCCCATCGTCTATTTGATTTGCCAGAGTGTACTAGCTTATGTGCATTATTTTTGTCTAATTGCGTCCATCTATGTGCTGGTACCAATTTCCAACCGATCTATTCGTCAAATGTCGAAGCACCAACATTCATACAAGCAACCCACAGTGGTGATTTTTCTTGACTTGTAAGCCACCTTTGACCTTATTGGTCGTACCATGTTGTGGTATTGCTTCTCCTTCATATAAATACCAGGGAAACTACTTATCACACTAAAGTCTGTAGTTAATCTATGGGGAACCGCCCCCTTAGTTCCCCGCAATGAGTAAGGTACATCAGAGTTGTTCGATATCTCCTTCCTCTTCTAGCCTGTAATGGAAATGATCAGAATGTCTCAGTCTTCTAAGCTTCGGAAATATAATTTTCTCCGGGTGACCAACTGGCAGACTTGGCATATGCCGATGACAGCTTTCCTTAGGTCGGACCCAGCGGTTATGCAAACACTACAGAAATGCTGACGCCCAGCGCTGCACGCTTCGTCATGTTCTTTGCATTCTCAAAGTGTGAGCTACCGGCGCAGAGCTGGGCTGGCACGTTACGGATTATAGCTGTCATCGAATAACCACTAGAAATGATCGATCGATTTACTTACCTTGCTTATTGTATCATTTTTGGTGGTTACATTACTGAGGAAATTGGTTCACGTATCAGCAACATTTATCTGACTTTCCAAAGTCCAAATCATCCATAGAGACAATGAGTTAGCTGCGGGGTAATGGCTGATTAGGACGCATAGCAGTGAAAGCCGCAAGAAAGCTGTCTCGCCGATGCCATGTTATCTTTGCACGATAGCCAGCTGTTTGTGACGGTATGTTGTCTACACAAGGTGTAGGCGCCTTGGCGCTGAATGTTTGCTTAGAGCATTAAGGTTTTCCGGTAAGTCCCCCTTCTCTCCCTCTTCTTATTCCTTATTTCGTAGGTCGTTATGGTTGTATGGCAGCGAAGCATCAGTTCAAATGGCTGATGTACTGCTGTTGTTGATTGATTGCTTGTTGGTAGAGACAGTGGGATATCGGTCCGTCTGTCGGTGGGCGAGTGTATGCCACTGAGACAAGGTCGGCGCGTTACCGTATGGATCAGTAGCATGTCAGCTATGTGCAGAAAGCATTAGGAGGTTACTAATTAAGGAATTAATCGTCTTTGTTTGTCAGTGCTTCAGCAGTGTTGTCCACATCGGTTAGGTAATCATCTGAGCCGTACCGAAATTCACTAGTTGCTGTGTGGAAGGCGGTTCCCCGATTCTGCACCGCAGCGCCTGGTATAAACTGCGTCGATAGCGCTCACTCGTCGTTGTACAAAATTCCATTAGTTGTTGGCAAAAATAATGAACGAGAAAAACAACGAAAGTGAACTAAAACAAAATACTTGTTATACTTTGTTTTGCAAAATCTATTGACGTCGAACTCGTGGTTTGAGAAGAGGATAAGCGGCATAGAGAAGGACAAAGAACTCATAATCTTAACGTCGACATTCCTTGGACCCCAAACGGAAGTCGAGAATCTCCAACTGAGGCCAACTTCGAAGTGAGCTCCTCCATTACTCTTGACAAAGTCTTCGGTTAGCCTCACTCCTCCCATCTAGATCCCGTTCGGGAAAACAAACACGTCGTCCAAGTAGGTATGCTGACACGCGTAGCACATGGTCCAGCTTTAGAGCCCAGTGAACGAAATAATGGGGCCTAGCAATTCACCCGCCGTTCCTGCACCAAATACGATACGCCAAACACGTCCATTACTTACTCACTGTTTCCAACATACATGAGCTAAGCTGCTAAGGCGATTATCTCGTAGCAGTCCCTGTCGGTTGGGACAGTTTTATGTTCGTGCAGTTTCAATAATAAATCATGTAAATCAGCATATGTCTGTATCCCGAAGTGGAGGGTTTCGGTGTGGCTCTCTCCCATTCCTGCACTCCACGACTGACGGTTTGGTTTTGGTTTAACTCATCAGGTAGAGATAACCGAACTGGGAGTGGAACTCGGCGCATAGTGATTGGCAGTCCATGTTTCAGTCCGGCTTGAGGAAGTTCTTTCCATCGGCTTTATTCTACTCCAGCAGTCTAATCTCCTTTCCAGCTTCTGTACGAGGGAGTGGATCCAAAGGGACGGCCCAGAGAACAGAGTCATTACCGGTCTTCGGCGAATCTGGTAGTTACGACCGATTAAATTGCTTTCCAAAGTAGCAAGCCCCATGCTCCTAGCGTTTTGACCGGTTGTGGATGGACTGTCCTCTCTCGTCGCATATAGTTTCGCTAACATCAGATCTCCTACTATCCGTTTCCTGTATCACTCGGTGTAACTTCCAAATGTTACCAAGGACAATAGCCATTTCCATCTCCGACGCATTGTGAGATCACTAGGTTTTACAGTTTCTTTTCAGTCTAGCACACGGTTTTGCTCTAAGGTCTTTGCGAGTTTCGTTGTGTTCAACTCCCAGCCGAATGTCTCGGCGAGCATCGAGGAGTTCCATAGACTGCGTCGGGACCCAATTTCTGGGCTAGTAATCAGGTTTATTACATGAAGATATTACTGCCGCTAATAAGATCTGGGACCTACGTTAAGTGCGTGCGCCGAAGCAGTATTACTTGATTGGATCCAAGTTAATAGAGTAGTCTGCAATTCGGCTATTAAGCTCCGTATGTTTGTCTAGCCGAGAGGCCACCAAATGCTGTTTGTCGTAACGGCATATGCTCCTACGGATTGCGATCCAGATAACAAAAGATGAGTTCTACCTTCAGCTTTCCGACCTTCTATAAAAGTAATGCCGTACGGGTATCTTGGTGCTAGCCGGGGATCTAAACGCATTGGTCGGTAGGCTCAAAGCTGTTGAACACGAGCGTAGTGGTCTGCATGGTCACGGTACTCGCCGGACGGACGACGCAGATCACCTCCTCTAGCTTCATGCTGATCATGATTTATTCCTGTCGCGCACGAACTTTCGATCCTGGTGCTAGCGCGTCACCTGGCGACCTCCTTTACCTGACCAGTCATGGAAACAGATTGACCGCATAGTCATTAGTTACCGTTGACGATACTATTTATCGGACTGCAAATCGATTTAGAATACTTATCTCTCCTCTGATCACGCACTTGTGTGTGCTAAAGTTGTCCTCCGCTTTGGCGGCACTCAACAGCGTCGCAGGAGACAACTAGACTTGGCCAAACTAGCCGCTCCAAGTATTCTCGTTGTCTTTCGGAATTCATTAGCTTCTAATATGAAGAACCCCCCCACTCCCAGATGTCGAGGCGCATTGAACACACTCGGAGTGCCCTGCACAAGTCTTCCAGCATCACCTGAGGTTTCGCTAAGCGCACCATCAATCGATAGATTTCCGCTCCATCCGTTCATCTGATAGAACATTACGAAGCTTGGTGGACGCAGCATACCATCGAGAGGGAACTGGCCGCATCCTCAAGGAACTACCGCAAACTCTTCTCTCTTATCCAATCCATCGATAGAAAGAAACCAACTATAAGAGAATTTATATGCGAACGCATCGGTGAACCAAACCAACGCCGATTTCTACCTTGGCCAGAGCACTTTGAACAGCAGTTCAGCTAACAACCAATGCCCTCCAGTAGCCATTCTTGCACCCACGATGTGTCCCGGTGTGTAATCATCTTTCCGCCATCTGACGCCGAGTTTGCGTTTGAGCTCCGTCTCCTTGGGCTTCACTTATCATCCGGTCCAGACGAATTGCCTCCGGCTTTTTCCGTGGGTGGGGCTTCGTCTCTTCTGAATTGACTACATTGCTCCATGAGATTTGGACCACAGAAGTCATTCCGTCAGATTGGAACTTAGCGAATATCGTTCCAATCTTCAGAAGAGGTGACAGGATGGATTGTGCAAACTACCGAGGAATCAGTTTCTTATGAGTTGCGTCCCAAGTGCTCGTCTCTTTGCTCCTACGGACAACCCATACGCGAAGGACGTGCTGTGCTTCGCTTAAGTGGAGCAGTATTGATCACCTCTTTACAATCCGCCAGATGTTCGAGCACCGTCGGGTTTTCAGTCGGCCTACCATCGTTTGCTTCTTGGCCCTACGCACAGCACTTGACTCAGTTGACAGAGTTGCTCTCTGGAGTTGTCTGCTGAGAAAGGGAGTATCCGAGGAATATGTTCACATTCTTCAAGCCACTTACTCACAGGCCGAGTGCGTATGTACGGCGGACTTTTAGTATCACTAGTGGCGTGAGGTAGGGTTGCCCCGCATCACTCTTGTTCAACTTCCCTGTGGATGATATCTTATAGCTTGCTCTGGAAAACTGTGGAGCTGGTGGCGTCGAGTTACTCCCAGGTGGTCGGCTCCGTGACTGAGTATGCCGACGACATCACCCTAATATATGACTACTCGTAAGCTGCCCAAGACATGCTGCGAGGTTGGATGTCTGGGGAAGCGGCATGTGGAGAAACCGAAGCTTCATTACCAGGACCTGGTCAAGATGAGTCTGTCACGTTCTAATGTTGATTTCAGGTGTTGGAAATCGTAGGCGGTTGATTGGCGTGCATGTCGTGATCTGATCACGAAGCTAGTTGTCGAGGTGCAGCAGAAAGCCCTGGTGTATGTAGAGAAACGGTAGGTGCGAAGGCGACAGGCGCCGTTGGGGTGTACTCCATCGACGTCGGGCGCATTGTGCTGTAGCACATGCGGTCGCGAGTGCCTAGTAAG